AGGGTGCTGGGAGCCAGGCCTTGCTGGCGGGCCAGGGAGGGTTGCCCTTGTTCCTGCGGGGTGGGTTCATGTCCGTGGCCTGTCACAGTTACACACCTTTAACCCCAGAGGCAGCCTGGCTCAACAACTGCGTGGGGCACTTCAACCATCGCTACTTCTTCTCCTTCTGCCTCTTCATGACCATGGGCTGCATCTACTGCAGCGTCAGCGGCTGGGACATGTTCCGGGATGCCTATGCAGCCATCGAGGTGAGCGGGGCAGAGGCAGCGCCGGCCCCGCTGCCGCCTGCGGTGGGGAGGGCAGCGCTAGCGCGTGTCGACTGCCGGGCTGAGCCTGCAGAACGAGCCTGGAGCAGCCCCAGCCTCTCTGTGGCTCTCTTTCCCCTCTCCCACCGCCTCTGATGCCCCTGGCTGCCCTGGTCCTGCAGGGGTGCGAGTGGGAAGGGTCTTCTCCTCCGAGCCATGTAACTGGTGCCCTGTGTTTTCCATCCCCTTAGAGAATGAAACTGCTTGAGAAGGAGAGACTGCAGGTGGCTGCCAACCAGGTGGGACATCCCTGCTCCCCAGCTGCTCCAGGCAGCACGGAGCAGAGCTGCCCTGCAGCTGCCTGCAGCCTGGCTCCCTGCTCTGGCTCCTGCTCTCCAGGTAGCTCCTGGCAGGAACAAAGCAGCACCCAGGCTCGTCTCGTGGGTAGCTCTGCTGCGGGCGCTGCCTGCAGCAGTGTGGCTTCCCCATGTACAGAGCCAACAGGCCCTGCCTCGGGGCAAGCTGCGGCCGTAGCCCGTACCTGGTTCCATCTCTGTGTGCTGCGGGGTCCTGACCACCCCCGGCTGCTTTCCCCCTCTAACCTGCTGCTTCTCACTCATCTGCTGGCTGTCAGGTGCTGTCCGTGTCTCATGGCTGTCCCAGGCTGCCTCGTCATCACCTGGCTCTTGTGTTGGTCCTGGTCCAGCCCTTTCTGTCCGCCTGATCCCTGCAATAGTCACGGGCGCAGCAGCCCCCAACCTGGCCCTTGCGCTGCAAAGCACTTTGTGTAATCCCCTCCCGTCCTCTATTTTTATTTTTTGCAGACCTACTACCAGACCCCGCCGCCCACCTTCTCCTTCCGCCAGCGGGCTTTCCACAAGAGCATCGTCTACCTCTGGGTGCTGTGCAGGTGAGGGCGCAGGGGCCGGGCGCGAGGGCAGGCAGCGGAGCTCGGCCCTGCACCGTGCTGCACTTCCCCTCTGCCTGCCCCGCGGCCGGGCTGCACCGACCCGCTCTGCTCTGGTGGCTCTGGGGACACAGCGGAGCAGGGAGGACCTCAGCTCCCCGCACCGCAGGATTAGAGCAGAGCCTCCATGCCGTGAGGGCTGCAGGCCCCTCAGCTGTGAAGACAGGCTCAGCCCTACCCTCTGTCACACTAGCGTGACCTGCTGTCCCCTGCTGTCCCCAGCTCGGTGGCGTTGGCCCTGGGTGCCCTCACGCTGTGGCATGCTGCCCTCATCACCCGCGGGGAGACCAGCATTGAGAGGCACATCAACAAAAAGGAGAGGCAGAGGCTGCAGAAGAAGGGCAAGGTGAGCGCAGTGCCCGGAGGCACCAGGCCAGCCAGGGCAGAGCTGGGCTCCACGCATCCCTTTGGCCTGCAGGTGTTCAGGAACCCCTACAGTTACGGCATCTGGAATAACTGGAAGGTGTTCCTGGGAGTGGACGTGCCAAGGTAATGCCCTGGGGCAGTGCCTCGCTGGCAGGGCAGGGACAGGGTGGCCGGGCCCTCCCTGCACTGCAGGAGAGGGAGGATCTCGTGCTCCGTGCTGGTCCCAACTGGCACCATGAAGAACCTGGCCAGCCCTTGGGCCTGGCAGGGCCCAGCACGCGGCTGCCTTGGGGCCCTGTTCACACATTCCTGCCAGGCCCTGGGCTCCCATGGCGGCTCAGGTGGAGGAGCTCGGTCTGTGACAGCTCAGGGATGCGGGTTCCCTGGCCTCCCTCTCCTGAGGGTCCTGCCTGGCCCCCTCGGCGCGGCGCCAAGGCGCGAGTGCTTTGCTGCAGCCTTCCTTCCTCTCCCCCCAGACACTGGCTCACGCGGGTCCTGCTGCCCTCTCCTCACCTGCCACATGGAACAGGGCTGAGCTGGGACGTCCCTCCCTGTGTGAGGGAGCAGCGGGCACCGCTCCTGGCCATCTGAACGTGAGACGGACCTGGCGCTGCAGCCCTCCTCGCCCTGCAGGCAGGGAAGCACAAAGCCAGCCCTCGTGTCCTGCTTGGCCCAAGCAGCTGGCTGAAGGCAGGTGCTGGCACACGCTGCCAGACGCTGCCAGCTGGAGCCAGAGCCCGAGGAGCTCTTTGGACAGCGTCAGTGCCGGCGCTTCTGGCTCCGTGGTGGCTGCAGGCAGCCCCCGGCAGGGCAGGGGGCATGAGCTGCAGGTGCTGCCCCTGCTACGCCCAGGTTCAGGCCAGCACCTCGCCCAGCTTGGGGAGGGGGGCTTGAAGGACCATGTATTGCTCCCCCTGCAAGTACTGGCCAGGGAGGCTTTTTACAAATGTAATAATATCCAATAAAGAGGTGTTGTTTTTCTAAGAGTGACTCTCACCTGTAGTAGGGGGAGCAGCAGCCCAGGCCCAGGGCAGCCCAGCTGCTGCCTAGAGCAGCGCAAGGGCAAAGCCCTTGGGCACCTGCTCCTGTCCTGGCTGACGGGCCCAGGAGAAGCAAGGCCGGGCAGGGCCACGATGCAGGGGCAGGAGCAGCAGTAGCCCAGCCCGGCCCTCAGAGAGAGGCATCGCAGTGTTACAAAACCCGGGTTTATTCTTCAGGCATGCGCGGCGCCACACACTGCACGGCTGGGCATGGGGCTGCCCTCTCCCCGCGTGTGGGGCCAGCGTGTCCATCAGTGTCCGTGGGTGCTGCAAGCAGCCCCGCTGCTTCCCGCAGGGAAGGTGCTGCAGGGAGGGGCTGCCTGGTGGCCCCCGGCCCAGCGCAGCAACCCTGCGCTCCGGGAGGCTCTGCCGGCCTCAGGGCAGTCCCGAGGGCAGCGGCCTCGCAGGAGCCTGGCGGTCAGCACAGGGACGGGGCACAGGGTGTTCACCTGCCCGGGCTTCCCAGCAGGAACCTGTGGGGACAGAGATGGGGCCCTGAGCCAGGCTGCCAGCCCCCTGGCTCCCCCCGGCTGCAGCATCGTGCACTCACCACTCGCCCCGCGCTGCCACTGCCTCCTTCCGCACCAGCCTCTTCTTGTCATCCAAGGGTTTGGCCAGCGCCCGGATGACCCGTGGCTTGTACGGGAGCAGCTGGGGGACAGAGATGGCTGTTAGTGAGAAAGCCGGAGGGCTGGGTCCCTCCAAGCCCCTCACACCAGGGGCCAGCAGCCTCCATGGTGCAGAACTTACCACAGTGAGGGGCAGGTAGGTGAGCGCATGGGCACAGCGTAGGGCAGCGATGCGGACAGCCTGGAAGAGGCAGGAGTGAGCAGCGGGCAGGGGCCAGGGCAAGGCAGAGGAGGGGGGGAAGTACGGGACAGAGAAGGGGTGCACGCACCATTGTGGGGCTGGAGGTAAGGCCGAGGACCTTGGTGACCAGCGTGTCGATGTGCATGCTCATGATCTGCGGGGCTTCGAGCAGCAGCGGCTGGAGGCAGCTCAGCGTGGAGAGCTGCACCACGCGGTCCGGGCAGGACAGGGCCTCAAGCAGCAGGGAGAGGAGCTGCAGAAGACACAGATGTGATCAAGTCCTCCTGCTGCGTGCGCTGTCACAGTGCCCCCCAGCCAGGCTGGCCCTCACCCTGGGCAGCTCCGTCACCAGCACAGGTCTGGGGAGGTGGTTGAGCACGTGGGACAGACCCTTCAGGTAATTGGCCTTCACGTCTGTAAAGAGCAGAGGTGGTTAGAGCCAGCGAGGGGAACAAGCAGAGCCCAGTGCAGATCTCTTCGATAGAGGGGCCTTCAGGGGACAAGCCCAGCCCTGCAGGCCAGGCCAGGGCCAGAGGGGCCGCTCACCGGGGCCAGCCCCGTGGAATCCCTGCACCAGCTTGGGCACGTTGTCAGTGAAGAAGCGCTGGCGGAACATGATGCGCACGGCGGCGTGGCAGCCCTTGTGCAGCACATCCGGCGCGTCGGCCATGAGCAGCGCGAAGCCGTCGGCCGCCGGGGTGCCCAGCTCCGCGGCCGGAAAAAGCTGGGAGCGACTGGTGCCGGGGATGAGGCGCTGAGCACCAGGGGCTCCCACCCAGCTGCCAGGGAAGCGGGTGGCTCCTCCGAGAGCGCCCACCCCACGCAGGGCCTACCTTGTCCGTCAGGCGGGTGCTCAGCGGGTGGTAGCGCAGCACGAGGGCTTTGGTCACCTGTGCAGGCAGAGCAGAGTCAGCTTGGGCTGCTCCTGCCCGGAGCCCCCGTCCTGCAGCACACGGGGCGGGCATTACCCAGAGCAGCAGCGTGAGCGCCTGCATCCGCTGCGGCCCCTCTGCGAGCACCGGCTCCATCCTGTTCACTGCCAGCTGCAGGATCTCATCCAGCTGCTGCCCTGGGACGCAGAGGAGCCCAGCTGATGAGCCCCCCGGCAGCGCTGCACCGGGCCCCCACAGCGGCCGGCCCAGCTCCCTTACCCTCCGCATGCTTGTTCACCAGCCCTGCAAAGCACTTGGCGGCTGTGGTGGCCGTGAAGGGGCAGTTGCTGGAGCAGCTCAGCGCTAGCAGCTCCCGGAGCAGCCTCTCCTGCTGAGGGATCAGCACCTGAAAGAGACCCGCAGCTGTCACAGCCTGGGGGCTACGACTGCTCCCTTCCTCTCCCCATCGTCCACAGTCCTGGGCAGGACCCTCAGCCACAGCCCCTTCCACCCCATTCCCCCAACTCACAGTGCCCCAGCGTGAGCAGACGAAGGCCATGAGGAGAGCGACAAGGCGGCTCTGGGCTTCCAAGCGCTCCCCACCCTGTGGGGACAGAACAGGACTCACATCATCACAGTCCTCTCTGGCAGCTGCTTCCCCCTGTGCCCACAGTCTCATCCCCTGCCTTTCCTCAGGCACCTCAACCCCAGCACCTCACTCACCCCAAAGGGCTGGAAGGAACAAGGAAAACTGTTCTGGGGCAGGAAGGAGACTTCTCCATCCAGGAAGAGGGACACCACATGGGACACGCTCTGGGCAGCCAGCCTAGGAGAAAGGAGACACTGCAATGTGCTGCTCTGGGAGTGTCACCGGAGAGCTCTGGGGTACCCAGCGTGCCCCTCACTGCAAGGCGATGCTGTGCGCAGCCTCGCAGTACCCGCACCGGCGTCACTCACTCGGGGCTCAGATGAGTGCAGGCGGCGCTGATGACGGGCACCATGGCAGCCAGCTCCTCCTCCTCCAG